TAGGGTGTCCAGTTATGATGTCAAATCAAACGACCCTATGGTAATAGTCCTCTAAACATCCTATATGGAAAGGAGGCATGCTTAAGGTTATGTAATATAAAATGTGCAGTTCAGGGCAAGCAGTAGAAAACACAATAAAAGAAACAGTGTAGATGCATATATGACAGTAGCAGGTATAGTAGAAGGAACAGTATAACATGCTATACAGAGTGGTGGCAAGTACAGTGAAAGGAACAGTAAAACATGCTTTACAGAACAGTAGCAGGTATAAACAGGAAAAGAATAACATGTTGTACAGGGTAGTAGCAGGTATAAACAAGAATAGTATAATATTCTGTAAATGTAAAACGAACCTATACGCCCGTGGGATCCATTGTTTCTTAAATATAGCAAGCTGAAATATATTGCAAAAAGCGAAGTCTAGAATAAAAGCCATCCGGGAAATCCAAAAAAAAGAGTGTAACGACGACTCTTGATCGAAAACTCGAGAAAATCAACGAGAAAAGACTCGAGTAAACATCTTCAAGACTCGGAGAAAAGACTCGAGTAAACATCTTCAAAAATCTCAGAGAAATCTTGAAGAAAAGAAAAGAAACACGAGTGCTCTGTCCAAAGCTTCGATAAAACAAAAAGTTGAGGTAAGGGGGACCGCAAGCACTTGTGTAGGGCTAAGCTCAGATATATGTATATGTACTCGAGGGTCCACAAAGGCTACTTGGTCACCCGAATGTATAGAACCCGCCACTCGTCTAGAAGTGTGTTCTGAACCTCACCTAGAGGGCTACTTTCTAGCCTAAACAGGTATTCGTCAGGTGGACAATCAATTTTAAAATGTATTTTAAATTTTATGTTTTTGACATGCACATAGGTCTTCAAAAAAAAAAAGATTATCAAATTTTATTTTATAGCAAAAAATTTTTTTTTTTTTTTTGGAAATAAGTTTTAACAAATTTTTTTTTATTGTCCACAAGTCGATTACGCTGTCAGGCGTGGGACTGTCAACTATCTAAGGAGATTCGAGCCAACTCCCGCTAGACTTATGTCAGTGAAGGATACCGTTATCCTATTGTTCATCAAATACTTGGATCTTGATGTTATAGGATAGGACATCTTTCTCCTCTATCTTCGGTGTGTCTTTATCATCACCACCCTACGCTCCAAAACAAACTACTTACGACCTTGTTTGATGGTTTCACGTATAGCAAAAGGTTATACGTGGACACTTATGCGTCGGACATGAGCATCGAAAATCGAACCAAGAAACAAGGAAAGAAAAGAACAAAAATGGGGTGAGAGAGAAGATATTGATCCATCTAAAACACCGAAAAGGAAAATGAATCCTCCGATAGAAATCCTCTTGGAATAGATATAGTATAAAGGTGTTTATGGAGTAGATATAGTATAAAGGTGGTTATGGAATAACAATGGAATGATAATATGCGAGATCGACTCGTCTGGAAGGGGATAGGATGTGTATGGCGGCTGTCTGGGCTGAAAACAGCAGAGAGAACCACAGATCGTCAGCTTGACGAGACACTACTGCCGAGGAAGATCCACCACAAATTCTTAAACAAGTTACAGGCACATCACTTACAAAAAAAAGATGAAACGTCACTCTTTAAGGCAAAAATCAGATAATAAAATCTCCAAAATACAAAAAACAAAGCAAAAAACCTCAACCATGTTCCACAATACTTTTATACTAATACCCAAATCATACCCTAAATAGAAGAAAAAGGAAAGAAAATAAGGGTGCAAATGACCCATGCAGCCAACATAGCAAGAAAATCCTCCGATAGAAATCCTCTTGGGAAGGTATTCCATTCTAGTCCAATCGCATAATCGCGGGATCAGCGGTCTCCTCTCCCATGTTAGACAGTGTAATATCTTCTTTGAGAAAATGATATTGATTACATTCCATGTTATCTGTATTCATATCAGTTTATACAATAGTGTCATAGGATGTCATTCATGATGAGCATCTTGTCCGGTATATTTTTCTTTTCCTTGTTCTAATAATTCTTACAAATTGTCTTCGATCTACTCATATCACTTTCTAGTTATAATATTTCATTTGAAAAGAAAAATAAAACTAGAAAGGCACTACTACAACATTAATTTCAATGAAGGTAAGAAATATGGCATATTATGCATTAGAAGTAGAAAGAATATCGTTATTAAAAATATATCAAATCATTTATAGAAATCAAAGGGTTTCAAACATAAGACCCCAGATTTTGCAAAATCATGCCAAGTAGCAGAAATAAAAGGACATTTATAAAGTCGAGCTCCTAGCTCAAAATACACCACGATGGAGTGAAATGCATGCTTGCTCTAAATGAGTAGATTCATCTAATGCCTTAACAAGTATTGAAGATAACACCTGCCAACTGCACATGCATGAACCATTGGCTTTCGTTCATTATCTGAATTTTTAATTGAGCAGAGTTTGTCATACCACCGGCCTACAGATGAATGAAACCACTAGTTTCTATTGTATGAATTTTATTTATGCATGAAACTAGACAAGTAGTTCAATAAAATAAATTAACATTGGTACATTAGTGGAAATAAATAAATAAAATCAAATTACCTGATTGACAAAGTAACAAAGGCAATCCGAATATATGGAGCAATTCTGAAAGGAAGATAAGTAATTGACACGGGAGATGCAAAAAGGGCATAAACCAATATATCACACATCAGGAGGAGGAGAGAGATGATCTGCAAATGGAATACAGAAATACACGTTTTGAGAAACTAAGAAAATATATCAAATGAAATCCCAACAAATGCATCTTTGAAAAATAAAAGGCTGAAGTGCTGGTTAAGGCTCAATGGTGAAATATGAACATACAAATATCACATTCATTAGTAGAACTTGACACAAATGCCATTTTCAAATCAGCAAGCAGCAGTTGTAAAAAAGACTAGTCAAGGTCATGCAAAAGCTTAGACAGATTTTGAAGGCCTAAAGAAGAGAAAAAAGTACAATATATGCAAAAAAAAGGTGGCAATTAGGCTCCAGTAGTTCCACCACAAATGACATGGAGAAGTCATTAGATTTTAAGGTTACAGACTTTTTAAAAAATACAATCAATGGAAAAAAAATAGATGCAAACAAACTCAGGCTGTTCTACCACAAATGGCATGAAGAAGTCTTAAGATATTAAGTTTATAGATTTATTAAAGATATCCAGAGCCAAAGGTTATTTTAACTAACCTTCAACCTGTTTGAAAGGTTCTTCCAGAATAGATTCCAACCTTCATATGCAATTGGAAAAAATGTATGTAAAATGAGTATAAGTAGAGTGATTCCCTGTAGAATTGCAGGCAGTAGAGTTAACAATAGATAGACAACAATAACAATCAGAATAAAAGCATAAACAACTAAATAAGTTCAAATACTTAAATCTACAAAAGGCTATTTTAACAAATGGAGGCGTTCAATTTCAAACTTGCTTCCAAAGGAAAATTTGTCCAAGGGACACTGAGGCTTAAATTGGCGCTAGTTCGAGTTGTTCTTCCATAACATAACAGCTGAGAATCAGCAACTGGAATTCTCACTAGTATGTTTATCCATGTTCGTCATTATGCTATTAAATAGATCATGTCAAGATAGAGTTCAGTAGGAACGAGCACAAACTTTAATTAATATTCTCCATTTTCATTTAGAAAACATAGAGCTCATGGTATCCTAAGCTTTTTTTTCCCTCCTTTCACTTTTTTATCATATACATAGGATTATCATTATCGGCACCTTAAGCTTCTTCAAGCTCAAAGAAGCTACAGAAGCAAACAAAAACAAAAGCTAGAGAAGCACAATGATATCAATATCAGGACTTCAGATGTATCATTAAAGTGCACTTATTTAAACGAACCTAAACAAACGATAGGTAGTCTTTCACCAATGATGGACATAACGCATAAAGGCTACTGAGATTAAGGGCGACACAAAACAAATAATAAATGCATGGTGTCAAAACCTGATTCATCTATTGAGATATTGACAGTTTTGGCTTCTTAGACCATATAAGACAAGTTAATGAATTCCATATCACTGCATTTAAGACAACTTACAGCCCAGTTCATAATATACAAGGTAGCACTGTTGTGCCCCAGCCAGTCCCATATCAGGCTATACCTCAACAGTTTTTCTTTCCTTAAACATAAATCTTCTTAGAAGATCATAGAAGATCATTGATACCGGAGTTAATCCAAACAACAATAGACAACAAATATTATTACTAAAAAAGACAGTGAGTCGTAACAACCAACACACGGAAAGGGAAATAGCAATACCAGACAAAATACTCAACTCAAATAGATGCATATCAAAAAGGGGAAGGCGGGTGGTTATGCGAGATGTATGGGAGGTTGGTGGCGCGCAGCGGGTTGGGAAGATGTGAGGTGTTATAGGTTTGTTAGTGAGAAGATGGGGCTGCAGTGGGGTGGCTGGAGTGCAGGAGAAAGGGGTGGGTTCAGCTGGTGGGAATATGTTAACACGTGTGGACAGCAGGAGCAGCAGTGATGGGAGTGATTGGAAGCTGGGTGACTGGCTGGGGGAGAGAGAACGGCTCGCTAGACGGGTGGTAGGGGTAGGAGTACAGCAAGGAGGGCTGTATGGTTGTTCCTTCAGCGATGAGAGGGGACGGCAGCCTTGGGAAGAGGGGGGATTGTAGGAAGGCAACAACTGTACCTATCCTTGGGCGACTGCCCTCGAAGGGTGAACCAGAGACATCAACGGCTGTCCCTACAGAAAACGTACACCAAAAACTAACCCTAGAATCCTATGAAAGCAAATATACAAGAACTAGAAAAGGACCAAGAAAACCTGAAGACTACTCAGAAAGGGACAAAACCTAGACCTGTTCGGTCCAAGTGAAGCAGTCATGTCTTGCTTTGTTCTGGGGACTCCCATGTTGGGAGCGGGAGAGGCTCCCGATTTAGGCACCCATCATAATGCTACTCCAACATGAGCATACTTAAATGTAGATTTTATACAAATGTTACGCCACAGGGCATCTCCTATATTTGATTCTAACCCTTATTTAGTTCATTCATACCTTCCTTTTGTCCTGAAAGCTTATCATTCTATGGGAATGTCATTAACTGCTCCTAGTTCAGGCAACCCTAGCTCCACCCTCATCAGGCATACTTCTAGGACCTCTCATAGGCCAGCCAATTTCTACTCGGTTCATCTTGAAACACATTGTATAGAGGATCTAGCAATTAAAATTTATAGTGACCTAGCCTGCATTATGTGAATTATTGCCTACTTTAGCCAAACAATCCTATAAAATAGGGTAAACCTCGCAATTGTATCCTCATTGTGCCACTTCCAAGGAGTCATTCAATCGCGAGCAAACATGATTGTAAAATTTTCAAAAAAGAAAGAAAACACCAATGATTATACAAAAGGGCACCGCAGATGTTTGGGTTTAAGCCTTTCCATACACAGCCAAGTAATATTTCCTCCCCAAGCAATGTTTGATATTATTCATTCCTATTCTTTCCTCATAGAAGCTACCACAGGTCACTCCTTGTATGAGCCATCAGCACAGATGATCACCCTCTGCCCTCATCAAACTATCATCTTTAAATTTGGGATGTCATCCATATTTATCTGAAAAGATTTGGTTCTTTCCATATTTATCTCTCTCGTGTAGGCCGGCCAGCACCTCCAAAACTTTAAGGATTTGATTGGAATATTTTAGAAAACATTTGATTAGTTTATTCCAATATTTTATGTTATTTTTCTATTTTTTATTCAAAATCATTTCATTTCCTAATTTAGGTGAGATATGTTTGATAAATTTATGAAAAATGAGGGATTGGTTTCCGTATAACAATGTCCCCTATTTGTGAATAATGGACCAACGAGGTAATTTTTACATGGTATCAGAGCCATAAAATCCTGCCCTAGTCACCAAACCTCTTTCCGGAGTCGTCAAAACTCCTTCCTAGTGACAAAACTCCTTCCTTCTAGGGTCAAAAACCCCTCCAACGCCTGAATCCCTTTGTTCTAGAGCCGACACTCCTTCCAGCTAGGGTTAGAAACCACACCACCACACCTGAACTCCTCCTTGTAGCCGAAACTTTTCAGTGAAGGACAGCAATCAGCATAGGATTTTGGCTCCAATGGATATAGCTCTCTCTTGGTGGATGTCAGCCTCTCCCGTGGAAATCACTTCCTCTCCAATGGGAATCACATTCTCTTTCTAATAGAAATCCAAAAGAGCAGTAGGTGCAACAAGCCGCATAAGCAGCAGCTGCAGCCAACAATTCTCTCCATTGCAGTCAACTAGAAACAGCCCTAAAGATTCAAGAGGTTGATGCCAAGTACGAGATGAAGAATTCAAGTGGTATTCTCAGAGGTTAACTTTGAATCTAAGTTAAGGGATTTTGTCCAGACAACTCCTAAACTCTCTAACTTTATCACAAAGCATAAACTCAATGGTCATAACTATCTTTTGTAGCCTTAATCCGTGTATATGTATATTTAAGGTAAAGGGAAAGTGGAACATCTCACGCAGAAGGGCACAATTCCTAAAATCACTGACCCCAACCACCACACATGAAAGAATCAAAAACATATGGTTATGTCTTGGTTAGTCAACTTAATGACTCAAATAGGAGAAAATGTTATGATGTACAAAACTATCAAATAAATTTGGGAGGCTGCAAAAAAAACATATTCTAGTACCGAGAACACTGAAGAGTTGTTTGAGAATGAAACCAACTTCATGGCCCGACAAGGAGAGCAAAGCGTCGTCGAATATTTCGACTCTTTGTCAAAGTACTGGCTACAATTGAATATGTTTGAAACACGTGTGGAAATATCCACAAGAAGGCATGATATTTATATCCATCATCGAGAAGAAGAGGATCATCAAATTCAGAGTACAAACTCAAGAATTGGATGAGTGTGAGAAAAGATCAAGAACAAAGCTTTCTATCTCCCCGTGAAGCCTTTGCTGCAGTTAGAAGTAAATAGTGCGAGAATAAGCTAATGCTGATCGGAAACGAGTGTTCACCAAGCACTGAAAGTTCAACTCTGCATACTCATAATTCTTCCCATGACTCAAAGGTCAAAAAAAACCATCCCACATGTGATTATTGCAAGAAGATTGAGCATATCAAAGACAAATATTGGAAACTTCATGGAAAGCCAGTCTACTGGAATCCTAGGCATGGAATGAAGAGAAAAAGGCAAATATTGCTAACACGTTTGAAGGATTGAAGGAGTCATTCACCAAAGAACAGATTGAAGTACTGAAGAAACTCTTTGGAGCAACACACCAACCTTGTGACAACAAGGCAATGAATCATTCTCCCATCTTGTCATAATAGAAGATTCAAAACTTGAATCATAGGTTCAGAAACCTTGAATTATATGACTGGAAACATCAATGCTCTAGTCAACTCTCAAGAGACTTCTACATCTACATCGATAAGACTAGTAGACGAATTACACTCAAATACTGTTGGGAACCAAGATATGGAGCTCTCTATAGATATTACACTTTCCTCTATCATATATGTTCCATAATTTAACTGCAATTTGATTTCAATCAGTAAGGTCACTCATTATATGAAATATATAACTAAATTTCTTGCAAACTCTTGTGAATTTCAGATGATGAACTCATGAAAGGTGATTGACAATACGGAAATGCAACAAGATTTATAATTGCTCAAAGATAATCTCTTTCTAAACACAACTAATCTCACTGTCGTATGTCTCTCAAATTTTTTAGTGTTGAATCTATGTTTGTCAAAAAATAAATTATGTTATAGAATTATCATTTGGATCATCCTAATTTCAATTAAATTGTTAAGTTATATCAACATTTGTTTCCCAAAAAAAATACTGAACTTTTATCAATGTGAGACTTGTCAACTTGCCAAACACACTAGAAATAGCTATCGCATGACTCATTATAAACCCTCACATCTTTTTTTCCATTATCCACAGTGATATTTAGGAACCTTCAAATGTAAAAACCTAAGTGAGGCTAGACAATTTCTCATTCATTGACAATCATATTAGAACAATTTGGGTGTTCTTGATGAAAAAAAATCTTAAACAACCCAAATCTTCCAACCCTTTCACGACAAGATTGAAACACATTTCTAATGTAAAATTCAGATTCTCAAAGCTGATAATGCAAATAAATGTTTCAACTCCATCTTTTGATCCTATCTTTTGAAAAATGGAATAATTCATATGAGTTCATTTATTGATACCTTACAATAAAATGAGATCGCAGAGAACAAAAAACTGCATTTAATTGACGTATCCCGCTCAATTATGAT